GCCGTCTGCAAAGGTCTCCGCGCCGTCCGCCCCCGGCTCACACAGGTGCCGCATGAAGAGGGACACATAGGCTCTGGGGTGGGGGGGGACTGGGGCTCAGGGGGTGAGGGGCCGGCAAGGACCCTCTGAGAGTGCTGGCAGGACCCCAAGGGGGACCTCCTGGCTGGAATCATCATCTATCGCCTGTGTCCTAAACAGGCCTGCGGGGCCAGGCCCCGGGAAGGGACAGAGGGGGCTTCCCTGGTGGGGAACAGCCTAGAGCAGCCCTCGCCCCAGGTAACTCAGATCTTCCTTGCTGCTGTTAACACCAGCTGGTTTGGGCAGAAGCAGCCGTCAGTGTTTTCTGAAAATCAGCCCAGCTTGGCACAGGGACCCCAGCCACCCAAAGACCAGATGGTGGTCCAGACGCCCTTAGCCTGGCAGAGCAGAGACGCTACCCACTGTGCGGGCTCCCCAGCTAGAGCCTGCCCCACCTAGGGGCGGGAGGCCACCACCCCAGCCCCTTTACCTAAACTCCTTCTCGCTCTTCCCGCGGAGGTCCCGCACCAGCCAGTGGGAGTTGAAGGCGTCCTGGGGAGGCATGCCCCAGCGCATGATGGCATTCAGAAAGGCCTTCCGCTGCCGAGCGTTGAAGCCCAGCACCTGGGCAGGGCAGAGAGCAGTGCATGAGCCCAGGGCAGAGACAGCGTGCGAGCAGAGAGCACAGGGACGGGGGAGGAGAGAGAAGAGGAGGCAGGCAGGGAACTCCACCTGAGGCAGGACCCAGAGGGCAATGCCAGCCCCAGGGTCATCCCAGCCCCACCTCTACTTGGCCTGTGACCCTGGGCAAGTCTCCAGGCCCCAGGGGCAACAGGAAGGGGGACAGGGAGAGATGGGGGTGCAGGCGGGCCCCACCTCGATGTTGCCACCAACTCGAGCAAGAAGAGGTGGTAGGGGCTTGTCCCTGTCACTCTTCAGCTGCCTCCTGGATTGTCGCCGTCCACCTGGGGAGCAGCCCCCCACAACAACTCAGGTGGGAGTCCAGGGGTTCCTGACCCCCACCCATCTGCCAGCATGCCCCAGGACAGCGGGACCCCTCAGGACATCCTCCTGCAGAGGGACCCCAGGCTGACCCCACCCCCACCACCATCAGCTTCCCCGACACCCAGGTCACCAGCACTGAGACTCACTCTGCCCTTCCGGCCTCTCCTCAAAGTCCTCGTCCTCATCCTCGGAACCGATGGAATACTCAGACTGGTTGTCTGAGAGCTCGTCCTGCCACTCTGCAGGGGGCCAGGCAGTGGGAGACAGAGTGAGCTGCCGTGCAAGCAGGAGCCCACCGCCAAGCCCATGCATGCCCCAGCCCAGTAACGACAGTGACAATGACAACAGCCACCGGGTACTTCCTGTGAGCTCACTTAATAGTCCCGACAATGCCACACTACACAGTAAGGAGTTGTACTATTTTCCTCCCTCTTTTACAGAAAGGGAAACTGAGACTCAAGGAGGCTTGCCCGAGGTCACATCACTGCAGTGGTGAAGCCACTGGACCCACACGTATCTTGTTCCCTCAAACACCCAACATTCCTGCACCTTCCCCAACTCCCTCCTCTCCACGAAGCCTCCTCCAGCCACGTCCCGCTCAGGCCATCCAACACCGCTCTCCTGCCCCCACACCTCGCCCAGGGACTTCCTGCACAGGGAGTGCTCCCTGACCTGTGGGAACCCTGCCCACCCAAGGCCCTCTGCCTCCAGGACACAGTGCATCCCCCCAAGCCTCAGCACGCACCCTGGTCCTCCTGGGAGGCGTCGTTGTAGTTGACCTGTTTGCGGATGCGCTTGCCCTTGCCCAGGTTGCGGGCCAGGTCCTCCTGCTGCTGCTCGTAGTGGTGCCGGAGCAGCTTCTCCCAGTAGTCGGGGTCCACGTTCTCCTCCTGCTTGATAATCTCCCGCTCCACCTCCTCCTGGGGACCCAGGCCAGGGGCTCAGTGGGGCTGGGCCAGCAGGCGGTCCTCCCAGCCCTCTGGGAAGGCTCCTGCTCCCTCTACCACCCCTCACCTTCTCAGGGCTCAATGATTAATTGGAAGACCTGCCTACTCCAGGAAGCCTTCCTTGATTACCTCAGCCCCAGCTGTCCTTCCTCTCCCCTCCCAGCCCTCTCCTTGCCCCTGTTGTAATCATTCATTCACTTATTCATTCATTCATTCACTCCACAAGTACAAGGGATCTTCAAAAAGTTCGTGGAAAATGCATATTATAAAAAAACTATGCACGGACTTCAAATTTTTTTTGCGCCAAAATAAACTCCTACTAACTTGTTATAACATGTCTGAAGACGATCTAGTTTGAGGCATTAAGAACGATAAGACATCGTCTGAAAAGAGCCCCTATCAGAGCAACACAAATTCTGCTAAATTGAAGCAAGAACAAGCATCCAATTTATGGTGAAGCTTAGGTGGAAGAATGGTGACATCACTGATGCTTTGTGAAAAGTTTATGGGGACAATCAGCAGTTTACAAATGGCTAACTCGTTTTAAGAAGGGATGAGACAATGTTGAAGATGAAGCCCACGGCTGAAGATGAAGCCTGCAGCCACGTGCCCTAGTTGACGAGTACTGAGGATGAGCAGCAGAAACAGCCAGCACCACGGACATCTCAACTGGCTCAGCTCACACAATTCTCGCTGAAAAATTACAGTTGAGCAAACTTTCTGTTCGATGGACGTCAAAACTGTTGTGCCCAGATCAGCTGCACACAAGGGCACAGCTTTCAATGGAAACTTTATGTGGGTGTGTTTTTTTGCTTGTTGGTTGATTTTTGGTGGCTGGCTGGTACTTAATGGAAATTTTAAACAAGTAGGATCAAGGTCCTGAAGCTTCTCTTTGAAGAACTGTAACAGGAGATGACACGTGGTTTTACCAGTACAATCCTGAGGACAAAGCACAATCAAAGCCATGGCTACCAGGAGGTGGAAGTGGTCCAGTCAAAGCCAAAGCAGACAGGTCAGGAGCAAAGGTCATGGTGACAGTTTTGGGGGATGCTCAAGGCATTTTGCTTGTTGATGTTCTGAAGGACCAAAGAATGATAACATCTGATTATAACAAGTGTTTTGAGACCATGAGCCAAAGCTTTAGCTGAAAAACACCCTAGAAAGCTTCACCAGAGAGTCCTGCTCCACCACGACAACGCTCCTGCTCACTCCTCTCATCAAACATGGGAGATTTAGTGAGAGTATTGGTGGGAAATCACTAGGCATCCACCTTACAGTCCTGATCTGGCTCCTTCTGACTTCTTTTTGTTCCCTAATCTTAAAAAATCTTTAAAGGTTACCCATTTTTCTTCAGTTAATACTGCAAAAAAGACTGCATTGACATGGTTAAGTACCCAGGACCCTCAGTTCTTTAAGGATGCGCTAAACAGCTGGCATCATTGCTTACAAAAATGTCTAGAATTTGATGGAGCTTATGTTGAAAAATAA